CGTCAACAGCTTCGGCGCCGCTCGGCCTCCTCCGACTCCGGTGCCGCCTCGCCGCCCTCCTCGTCGCCCGCGCCGCCCGGCCTCGTACGACTCCGGCCGCCGCACCGCACTTCCTCTTCGGCGACAGCCCCGGCCGGTGAACCTCGAAGTACGTGCTCAAGCGAGATCCAGATCTGGATCTGGATCTTCACGGTTGACTTTTCCCCCTCCAAACCCTAGCTAATTTGCATTTTTCCGCATGCCATAACTCTGCATCCGTAGCTCCAATTTGTGTGTGTAGCATATCGGAATGTTCGTCTCGACGAGTACATCATTTCATCTCATTGCATAATTTTTATTTGAGCTCATCTTGTTGCCCGAAATGCTGTTGGAAGAGGGCTATGTGAGGAATTTGTCAGATCTATTTCAGCAAATAGCCTTTTGTCATTATTGCCATGATTAATGTGTGCATGATATGATCCTGAGCTCTAGATGTGTTTTGTTATATGCCATGCCATCTTTACAGAGGTGCTTGCCATGTATTTTTGTGATATTTGTGGTGACTAGCACAAGCTTGCAAAGTAGCGTAATCGGTAATGCTGATTTCAGGGACTTATAATTCCTCTAAGTCCTTGTCCTGATTTTGTTGTTATGCCATATGTTCATGTTGTTTCCTAGTCATCCGTGCCTCTTTTGAGGATGATCAGTAAGGATGTTTTGTTAACATTGTGGTGCTCCGTCCATCCATGTCCTTGTTTTCATTTATGGAGCAACCTAGCTTGAGTCAATCGAGCTCTACTTTTGCTATAAATTGATCCTGGCAGATTGTTGACATGTTTAGCGATTTTGGCGAGGATGTTGCTATTGATCCGTGCAAGCTATGTTGTTGTTCTTTCCATGTCTAGCTCCTATGCCATGTCTTCTTTATGGGTGTATGCTTAGTTTGTCATGCAATGCTCTGTAGTGAGTGCATGGAGCTCGTAAACATGCCTACTCGTTAACTGATTTGCATGCTCCAGTTTTTCACCAAGTCTGAATTTGTTTATGTTTTTGCCATGTTCACATGCTTGCAATTGTATTTTCTGATCCCTTTTGGCTCAAGGTCACTAAGGGACTTTTGTTTAGTGCTTTGAGTAGCTTCATGCCATGCCTTGTTTTGCCATGTTAAGTTCCTGTAGCATGTAGTTTTCATGCTCTAAAGTGTGCTTCCTGATGATAAATTCTAGACTTGTGTTAATTTCACAAAGTCTGAAACCTGTTATCATTTGCTTTTTTGCCATGCTTGTTTGAACCTGTTAATGGATGAATTAGCCGTAGCTCAGTGTTCATCTTTTGTCAAGATTTATGAGTGGATCCCTGCCATGTATCTTGTTGTCATGTTTGAGTGATGTAGCATGTTTATCTTGATGCATTTAGTTGGTCACTTGCTGATTATCGCGGACCAATGCCATATTTGTTTTGCTTGCCATTTCCAAACCGTGCATCCGATTCCGGTGATCTTTATATCGATTTCAACCGAAATCACCTCACCTTTCCAGTGGCACTCTTGGATTTCCAAGTTTGGGCCAGGTTTAATCATTCCTTGTCAAATCTTGCATATGCATCACATATCGCAGCGCGCATATCATACCATGTTTGCATCATGTTATTTGAGCATTGCACGTGGTTGATTGTGCTCCCTTTGCTTGTCATTCTTGTTTGGGTAGAGCCGGGAGACGAGTTCGTGAATGAGGAGCCCATTGAGTTCGCTTACGAGGATCAAGGCAACTCTGAGAACTTTGCAGGCAAGATGACCATACCCTCGAAATCACTTCTATCTTTGCTTGCTAGATGCTCGCTCTTTTGCTATGCCTATGCTACGATACCTACCACTTGCTTATCATGCCTCCCATATGGCCATGTCAAACCTCTAACCCACCTTGTCCTAGCAAACCATTGTTTGGCTATGTTACCGCTTTGCTCAGCCCCTCTTATAGCGTTGCTAGTTGCAGGTGAAGATTGGGAATCGTTCCTTATTGGAACATTGTTTATTATTGGGATATCACTATATTATCTTGTTTATCTTAATGCACCTATATACTTGGTAAAGGGTGGAAGGCTCGGCCTTATGCCTGGTGTTTTGTTCCACTCTTGCCGCCCTAGTTTCCGTCATATCGGTGTTATGTTTTTGGATTTTGCGTTCCTTACACGGCTGGGTTATAATGGGAACCCCTTGACAGTTCGCCTTGAATAAAACTCTTCCAGCAATGCCCAACATTGGTTTTACCATTCGCCACCTAGCCTCTTTTTCCCTTGGGTTCCGCAGACTCAAGGGTCATCTTTATTTGAACCCCCGGGCCAGTGCTCCTCTGAGTGTTGGTCCAACCTGTCAGCTGCTGGTGGCCACCAGGGGCAACTCTGGGCTAGCCTACCAGAACCTTGGACAATCCGGTGTGCCCTGAGAACGAGATATGTGTAGCTCCTATCGGGATTTGTCGGCACATTCGGGTGGTTCTGCTGGTTTAGTTTTACCATTGTCGATGATGTCTTGTAACCGGGATGCCGAGCCTGATCAGATTGTCTTGCGAGAAGGAATATCCTTCTTTGACCATGAGAGCTTGTGATGGGCTAAGTTGGGACTCCCCTGCAGGGATTTGAACTTTCGAAAGCCGTGCCCACGGTTATGGGCAGATGGGAATTTGTTAATGTCCGGTTGTAGATAACATGAAACTTAACTTAATTAAAATGAATCAACCGCGTGTGTTACCATGATGGTCTCTTCTCGGCGGAGTCCGGGAAGTGAACACGGTGTTGGAGTAATGCTTGACGTAGGTTGTTCTAGGATCACTTCTTGATCATAGTTGTTCGACCATGCTTTTTCCTTCTCTTCTCGCTCTCTTTTGCGAATAGGTTAGCCACAATATAATGCTAGTCGCTTGCTACAGCTCCACATCATACCTTACCTTACCTATAAGCTTAAATAGTCTTGATCGCGAGGGTGTGGGATTGCTGAGTCCCCGTGACGCACAGATTCCTTCCTAAACCAGATGCAGGGACAAATGGTATCGCTCCAGACGTTGCGCTTGAGCTCAAGTGGGAGTTCGATGAAGACTCTCGTCGTTACTATGTGTCTTTCCCAGATGATCAATAGTGGTGCCCAGTTGGGGCGATCGGGGACTTTGTCGCATTTGGGGGTTGATCTTTATTTTGGTACCGTAGTCGGACCATGAGTGTATTGGATGAATGTAATGCTATTTATGTATTTGTGTGACGTGGCGAGTGTAAGCCAACTATGTATCTTTTCCCCTTTATTTATATTACATGGGTTGTTTGCGAAGATTGCCTCACTTGCGACATTGCTTTCAATGCGGTTATGCCTCTAAGTCGTGCTTCGACACTTAGGAGATATAGCCGCATCGAGGGCGTTACAAGTTGGTAATCAGAGCCTTCCCTGACCTTAGGAGCCCCCTGCTTGATCGAATCGTTGACGTTGTTGAGTCTAGAAAAATGTTTTGAGTCATTTAGGATAATATATATCGGAGAGTTTAGGAATTCTTTTTATTCCCCAGTCCCTTCATCGCTCTGGTGAGGCACCCTGACATAGAGTTTTGACTCTTCTCAAATTTCACTAAAAAAATTTAGGATCACGCGGGTATCTTGGAATCGTTCTGATGGTTTTGTGACGAGAACATTGTTCTTGGTGCCTCCTGTCATTTAGGGGTTG